GTTGGTTAAAAATCTAAGAATTCATCGCGAGATAATTAATAAAAAGAAGTACGTGACGTCCAACCGGCAAATAGAGCAAACAACAATCGAACAACCAAAGTAAGTTACCAATCAGCCGATCAAAGTAAGAATACAATTTCCAACAGAATCTCTTCTCATAGACTGTACAGTCTTCTTATTCTTTCAGCTGGAAAAGCTCGGCACGTTTCTGTATCAGCTAAATTCTACACTGAATCGAACTAACTCTGACGTCATGGAGCTGAAGGAGACTTTGAGAAAGGTTTGTCATAATGTCAAAATACAACAATGCAATAAACTTGTTGTAACCGCCGCCTGGCCAGTATTGTAAAGTGCCGGGCTGAGCTGCCGTGCGGAAGGTCGAAGGTTGAAGCCCCAGACTGGAACAACACCCAGCATCTTAAATTTAGCTGAGGAGAATGTGCTGCCTTTGAAATGACATTTAGACTTGCTAGTCTTCTCGGATAAGAATGAAAATCCGTAGGTCTCGTCTCCTGCATCTTCCCTGTACTGGTCAGCAAGGAGTAGGGGATGTAGCTCCCCGATTTGTGGTCTTGCATTAATTCTAAAAATTGGGGGCATCTGCCCAAATTTCCTTCAAAAATTTTAATCTACTCAATTCAGTCTAGCCAGAGTCCCTCGCAACGTGTTGTAAAGCGCCATGACTCGCCAATGAATATGGCGCTGAAGAAATCTGTCATTATTCATAATTGTTATTAGGAACTCTCTATAGCAACTTTTCCTCATTTTTTCAAGTTTCCCTGCTATTCCAACCCATGCAAGAATGGAGCGACCTGCTATCCAGGAAACAAGAGGGGCAAATTCATATGTGCTTGTGCTCCAGGTTTCGTTGGAGAAATATGTGAGAAAGGTAAGATTAATTCTACAACAAACTGCTCAATTACTTTTTCTGGCTTAAAGATGTGCGTAAGGTAAACTAGGCAAACTAGTTATTCATAAAAATGTAGTGTAATATGATGGTAGCAATTTTCAAAGGTATGATTGCAAAGCTATAACTTTCTTCAGTTGATAATAGAATCATGAGAACGACAGTTTCTTACGCTTTTTCGCTTCCCATATGAAGTCAGCCAACTTTATGCACGTGTTAATTATTAACTGGTACACATGTGAATCTCAATGGGCACTTTCGCCCTCTGGCTGCTAGCAAATGTTTATCTAGATAAGCATTACTAAAGCAGTTTCTAGACAACCATTTCCGGCCATCCTTAAATAAGTAAGGCTATCTCTCAAATCTTAAAGTATACGCATCATTATGCATCTTAAGCTTCGAGTCTAATAAATCTTTCTGGTATGTTCACTTTGCCTGAGCTGCTGAGAGCTGCAAGGAGATCAACGATGACAGTGATGATAAGGGCATGTAAGTAGTGTTCAATGCAATTCCTACGAGTTTAAATTCTCCACAATATACCTCTGAGAGCAATATCTTTTGAAAGCAAAATTCGTCTTTTTCTAGCTCTGTCAGTAACCAATCCTTCCCTCTGAAGCTTGGATCAGATACAATTTCAGTCTATTGTCACGTGACGAGTCTTGGTCCGTGTGGAGACGGTGGTTGGACACTGGTTATGAAGATCAATGGATCTAAGGTGCACAGAATTTATTCAAGTTTTCAATCATTATAGTAATAAATTAAACAGAGGCCAAAACGAATCAATAAATAAGCAAAAAGAAAAAGAAAAAAGGGAACTCGGAAGAAAACTATTACAGGAATTTACCACGCAATGGAATGTTTTGTTTTTTTCCTCGGCTAAGTTTTACACTTTTTATGTATTTGTATTGATCAATTTAAAAGAAAGCCGCTTGTGAATAGTTTGATAAATATGTACGAGATTTAAGTCACTCTTTTAGAAATTTTGGTTTTCAAGTTAGAATAACAATCGTTTTAGATTCTATTCTCGCCATTAACAAATAAGAAGCTTCTGAGATGTCTCTGCACCCTACACAAATGGTTATCACAGATGTTGCATCTCTAGATCATCTTGCTAGAAACTCAAGTGTCTAACGGGTGATTTATAAATTTCATCGGCGCACAATGATTTATTTTCTCGGAGGTTCGCCTACAGACGATATAGTATCTGATTACCAGAATAAATTTGTACTCAGTTTTTGAGCAATGAACGAAAATTGTTTTAAATTAATGAAACTAACGAACGTATGAAAAAAAATGAAAATATTGATAATTGACATTGGGTAATCTCTTATCGCAAAGTATAGTTGTTAATTGATAATGCTATCCTCATTCTGTAGAACACCTTCCATTATGACTCTGAGATCTGGAGCAATGAGACCGGATTGAACATTCAGGGGGGAATGACAGGGTTTGATGAGCAAGAGACTAAGCTACCGACTTACTGGAAGACAAACTTTACCAAGATCTGCCTTGGTATGAAAAATGGCGAAGAATTAAAATTTATCTTGATTAACAAGACGGCTGAATCTTTGCACTCATTAATTGCTGACGGGGAATATCGTAATACGTCGCTTGGTCGTGATGCATGGAAGTCGCTTCTTGGTTCCAACGGCTCCTTACAACTGAATTGCAATAAAGAAGGGTTTAATGCACGCACACCGTCTGCTGTGCGCCCTAGGGCAAGAATTGGCATCCTTGGTAACGACCAAAATGACTGCAGTAGCTGTGATTCAAGAATCGGTTTTGGTACAGCCCCGGGTTCCAACACCTGTGGAAATGTGGCAGCATTGCAAGCAGACAATGGTGACAAAAATGTCATAGCCATGGGATATGTATTTGTTCAGTAACTATACATGAGTTCTCGTTAGCGTCAATTTTTTTCCATAACGGTTTGCACCTATTTGTCGTTTTTGCCGATTTAAAACGTTTCTTAAGCTCCAGAGAGTGGTATTCTTCTGAGCAAAAGGTGACCCATACTTCTTGTTGATGTCCTCGCATAAAGCTAAGTTAAGGTTGCACGTTGTCCGTACATTCATAGCTGAAATTCTTTCTCTCGGTGCAATCAATAATGTAAACCTGCATAGTCTTGTAGAACTAAGATGAATTTGTTGCAGCTAACCTAATCGATCTGAGGCTACTCTTTGGTTAGGTCGATCAAAAAGAGTTATACATTTGTGACGAGCGTGAACCCTCATTAGGATTCGAAGTATGATTGTCTACTATCAAACGGTGAGCGAAGCCACAAACTAGATACCCTATGTTCAAACGTTTACAGGTTCAGAGATTCATACCCTATGTACAAGGTTCATGAGTCGTGAAAAAAATTATCTTAGTGGACGCTAAAAACGAGACATAGAGCAACACCTTTCAATTTTACTTGTAGAAGATATCGCCTCTAGAACGGATGGGTTAGACAAATTCACGTGCCCGTTAGACTATTTTTTTAAGTGTCATGGTTGTGAAGGAAAAACTTTAAATTTCAGGTCACTTGCCTTTCTGTAAATTCAATTGTCACTTAGTCACGTAGAAATGTTTAGCTTAATCTCGCCTCACGCACTGACTCTTTGCCTCCCTGTGAACTTTATTAAAACTGTCAGGAAACAATCAGAATACAAATTGTGCACGAGTTGAGTTGTAATTACCTTACATCATACAAAACAGCACGTGACCAAACGACTGACATCATCGATTTTACCGCCAAGCGGTTTTTTTCTTGATAATTACGATAGGGGAACACAGCGATTTGACACCTAAAAAGAGTGTCAAACTTCATTAACTCGGCGTACAAACTTACAATTGAGGTCCCATCGGGGCCAACATCCTTCCAATGCTCTCACACTCCAACTTTGACTTCATCGTCCCAATTTGTGAGATGAACAGAATGAATGGATCTCTACAGCAAAACAGTTGTTTTCTGTCATGAATGTTTCATCATAATACTTGATTCACAAGTCTTTACGTAGAAATTTTACTAATTCTATGTAAAACACAGCTATTAATTCCATTGTTTAAACTAGTTTTCCGCTGAAAGGCTTTTAAATCCTTTGCAATTTTGATTAGAAAAACATATTTTGAGACAATAGCGCACCGAATTTAATAAAGCAAGCTAGTGGTTAATTTAAGCTATTGGCGCTTGGATGGCCTTCAGTCGAGTCTTAAGAATCACCCAATCCTGAAACTTTGACATAAGAGGGCTTCAAAACACGTCCTCATATCAAATCAAAATTTGACAACTCAAAGTTGTTCATTTACTCACTGTATGATGATTTAGTGACAGTCGATGTATTGACAAATGCCTTTCAAAAGCACTTCAAAATCGCCCGATCTTGCCCTGTTTATTTTGACATTCGAAAAGGCTTCAAAACATGCCCTCTTATCAAATCGAAGTGACGTTTTAGAGGGCTTTAAAAAGTACAAGTAATGCACACGTGCATAAAACTGAAGTCAAGACAATATTCTAAACGAAAAGCAAAACCAAAAATTTAATCGCGTCCGATGAATGGAATGTTTAAAGACAAGAACAAAAGAGTGAATCCTTCAACACACTTTTGTTCTCTTTTTTTTTTTCAATCACGAAAAAAAAAAAAACGGGTCTTCTCGTGATGAGTGAAATGGTTTGCAACGACTAAAATCGGGTGGGCAAACGAAAAAAAATGAAAAAAAATGGATTGATAGAGATAATAACAAAAGAGTTAATCCATCATTACACTGTTGATTGTTTTTTTTTTTTAAGCCGAACTGACGACGTCTTTCTGAGAACCATTAATCAAATTTAAAATTTTGCGAAATCTTGAAACCAACCGTCTAAAAAAGGCTGAAATAGAGTTCGTTGACCGAACATCACAACGAGCCTAGTCAGATCGAAGGATGACCAAATTTAACAGCAAGTTCAGGTTGATTGCTCTGGCGATATTATCAATTTAGCTTGTTAACCGGACGAATTTAATCCAAAGGCTGTCACGCCTCGCTTGCGCTTAGCTGTGATTTAACTTAGAGGTGTGATATGCAGAATAACACCTATTCAGGGTGTGATCTGATTTCACCTTTCGGTTTGGCTGAGAGTGACTTGCACTTTATCGCAATGCCTACTTCATCTCGAAAAATCGTTATAAACAAAGGTTATGTCGGAGACGATTCTGCCACGAATGAGTCGCTGGGACTAAAACAAATTAGTTTAAAAGAGGCCAATTTTGGAGCAGCAAGTGATCCAGGGAGCGCACTTTACGAAACGCATGAGGAGAAACCACACCCGGCAAGGCGATCGAACGGGAGATATTTGCCCTTGTTCTTTTTTGCGTGTTTACTTTCCATCGTCGCCATTATTCTGAGTTTGCTGTCGCTGTGGGGGAATTTCGGTGAAAAATGTGATTGCTCCAAAACTGAAGGTTAGCAAGTAGACATATGTTAGTATAATAATTTGAAAGCGAAGCAACAAAATGGCCGCACTAAAACATCCAAAATTTGGTTTTATTCCTTTTCTCAGGTTTGACCTTAAAAGCAACTAAGTGCATCAGAGTTTTTTTGTTAGTCATAAAACACATTTCAATGGTCTGACAATCGTATGTCACGCAGTCTGCAAACTAGTTCTAAAATTATAAGTTAAAAGACTACAAAATGAAATGGTAGTGGAATAAGAAATCCTTCATTCAATGGTTTGACATCTAATCGTCGCTGTTGTATTTCATCATCCTTACAGGGCTCGGAAAAATACTGCGGAACTCGCAAAATATCCGCAAGTAATAACTCTTTTCCTCTATGAAAACTGATGATTTGTTTTTAAACTCTTCGCACCGGGTGGCCTGACTATAGACAATAAATATATAACAATGCTGATAATAATGATAATACTGGTAATAACAATTTTGGATAAATGCTGTAACTTTTGAATCGAGGAGGAATCGATTTTGATTCAAATTTAGGCGAATTCATTTTTTCTGACGAAGATATTTTTGATTGGCAATTTCATAGCTCTTCTTTCATTCAATTTCAAACGAATTGCCTGAAAGGAATCTTTTATTTTTTTCAGCACTCACTACGTCCGTTGAAAAGCTGTCTGCTGATGTAATCAAGATTAGTTCCTTGGAAGAGAACATGACGCGCTTTCAGCGAGATTTGGTGAGAGGCATTGAACACAAATTTTAAAAAGTGATTTGCGATGAAAAATTAACCTTAGGTCTTCACTAGCTCTCGAGTTTCCCCTGGGGATGCGGGGCCTTTTTGTTTTTCAATTCTTTGTTAATATATATTAAAGTTAACACGGCAACCAGTTGGACAATCAGACATAGTTTGACGCCACTCTGGTTTGCAGATTTAATGAATGTAACCGAAGAAGTTACGATTCATAGACCCAACATTTCGACACTCCTGTCTAGTGCCTTCATCAGGGGTGATCTTGGAGGCTTGGCATATTAACTCCGCCCACGCTCCTTTAAATCGTGACGATGGCGGTTTGCTTCCTGACGCCTATTTACACCTCGTCAGAAAAAAGGCCGCTAATTAGTGATCATATAAAAGGACCTCTTGTTGCAGCGTTTACACAAAATTTGCACAAAATTGTTTGGCCGCAATAGAGCCTGAATCTGGCCATAGTTTTAACCTAGCATAAGTAGACCCGACATTTTAGCCTAGAAAGAGCAGGAATTAGTGAGACAAGAGCCCCACAGGGAGAATCGTTCACAGCAAGAAAACGAGGCTGACACGAGCGAGACGCGTAATGTAACTGCCAAAAAATCCCACCTTAGGGTCTATATTACCTTTACTAGCAAAGAAAACTAGAATTGTCGCAAGAATATCAATGGACAAATTTTTGTCTCTTCTGTTGTACCCGTATTTCAAGCTGTCAAATTCCGTCAGCGCCTGATCTGCTCAAAAGACCAGCCGGCGAAATTTGCCAATGGATATTAAACTCCTATAGTCAGGATTCATCTGAAGTCGTTTGAAAGTTTTAAATATACGCGAGTTCTCCAACAAATTATCGCCTGCCTGGTAATACGCGGCTTTGTCAGGAAAAATTTAGTCGGCCGCACGTTTAAAAATTTTACCACCTCGGACAAAATTTGTTTAGAAGCAACAAACCATCCGCACTTGTAAAATTTAATGATGTCAGAAAATTTGTCTCAGCTTTCCCAGAGTAGCCTGTAAATAGAATGAAAAAAAGTTCACATTTAGACAAATTGATTCATCTCACCTCTATCCATTCCAAATTACGGAGCGCCATTTTTTCCATGCGGCCAAAAAACAGCGGTCCGTACTTTACAGTGCGGACCTCAAACTCGGTTAATAAGAAGTACTTAAACGACGAATGCGTTGCAAACTGCCAAGTTCATGAAAGTTGTTATTGTAAATTTCGCTGTGTGTTTTTAGATAGAGAAAGAGGCCGAGTTAAACAGTACCCGTTTATCCTTGGATTACCTTCAAGAAGAACACAACAACTTAAGTGAAAAGGTAGGGGAACTTATTCACACACAAAAAAGATGAAACGATTCAAATGCTTAGGCAACCATACGTTCCACTCGCAGGTGAGCTGCAAGATTACACTTACCCCAATTTGTCTTGAATTTACACAGCTTATCATTCTTTAACAGGAGTTTACATTATCTTGCATGCCATATGAACTTGTAAAATCTTTACAGAAATTTAAAGATTTGAAAGTCAACAGTTTTAGAAGTGTCAACAATTTTAAGATGTGAGATGATTTGAAACATACATGCAATGGTAAAAAATTACCATTTAATAATCACATATAATGATAAATGTAAGAAACATGATTATTTTATGGAAATGGCTTCTTCATCACTCATTAGAAATTTTTCTTGTAAAGAAGAGCATTTTGTTGTTTCCTTGACCACACTCACGGTAATTTGTTCAAAGTCTGAAACACTAGACCGAAAACCATGAAAAATGTCCGAAATTTTTTTTCTCAGTTGTAGAAAGATAGGATTTTCGTAAGGTCTAAAAGGAAAAGAACAGTATGAAAGAGAGGATGAATTGAATTTACTTTTTTCCAAATTAAGTCTACTGTTAATGAAATATTCACAAAAATGAAGAGCAATTTGAGTTGAATCGGAATTGGTGAATCACAAATGATGACTCCATACGTATGGTGAATCCATAGTTATTCAGATTAATGCATGAGTCTTCTTCCCTCAGACCAAGGCATGGTTAGACACCATACGAAATGATGCGAACAGCACAAGGATTCAACTAATGGCTTCTGATGCAGATGCAAAAGTAGCCTTGGATGCAGTTAACACAACTAAGACACTAAAGGTCAGTATTCTAAGATTTATTTCACTTCTTTACTCGTGTGATATAGGTTGGTTTGTCTAAGCTGTTGATTTAATATATAGTTTTTGGATACTCATGATCTGAATGCCAGGGCAGTATGTGTCATTGCCGGAAGAAGAAGATAAATCGCTCATCTTTGCTTTTCCCTTTTGACTTCTTAAATTTTTAGAAAAATTAATTTACTGCGATTGTCTGCGTCACGGACCCTAAAATAATGTGCTGTGCAACTTTGAAAATGAAACTGGGATTTGAAGCTTTCTGCTAAAGGAAATTAAAAAGTTTCCCTTCGGATTTGGCTGACATGTTGATTTTCTTAAGGTTTTAAAAGGACGAAAGTATTTAGAAAAAAGTCTGGGTAAGGGTTATTCCTTCGAAACGAACCAATGCCATACCTAATAAATATCGTTCACAATTTTTCTTTACTCAGCTGAATATCCTTGATGCTGCCTTGTCTCAGTTGACGACTTACTTAAAAAGGACAAACGTTGGCGTTAACGAAGTTAACAGCACTTTATTGGAGGTGAGACGGATTCGTATCAAATGTCACTTTGGAATGAATTAACATTGCGATGTTGGCATTATCGGTCCATACAAGCGGTGGTTTTGAGTTCTACTTTTGCATCTAACGGCGTAGTGAGCAATTATGATGAGACTTTTTAGTATTTTTGAAGCTCCGATATCTGAGTGAGATCTACTGCACCGACTCTTTTCATAATCGTGAGCAATATTGAGAATTTTCTCGCCTATGATTAATGTTTCCGGATATTGCCGTATTATACCGTAACGAATTCAGAAGGCTTTTTTTTAATGTATAGAAACAATGAACAACAGAAAAGTAAAGTGTGATCAAAGTGATGCAATCTTTGTTTGAATGCGAGTTTTTTTTAAATATTAAATTTAATATTGAAGTTCTTTCCAATAACGGGGATAAGACTGTTCCATTTAACTTTTAAAGACTTTTCCTTTTACCAGCTAGACGATCAAAGATAAGTAAGTTGTAGGGCTAATTTTCTCGACTTACGTTGATCGGATCATCATTCAATCAAGTACTCGATGAGATTGATCAAGTTCCAGACGAGTAAGTTTAACCTTCGAAATCTTTACTTACTAAATAAGTTTTGTATTTTCTCTGCATAGACTGATGCAGAACTTAGCTCTGTTCGAAACGATTTGGACAATTCAAAGAAATTACTCATGACGTCTGAAAAAGAAACAAGGAAAACACTAGCAGCAGTCAATTCATCCTTTGTTAATGAGGTTTGAAGTTATTACATTATATTAGTGATTGTAGAGATTTTAGAATTCGTCACGGAACAAGACTCCTGGAGGTGTTGACGCAGGATGCATTGGTCGTTATTTGCAGTGAATCTGGTTTTAGGTAGAATATGACAAATCTAGTGGTGACTCTTCAAGATTCAGGAATAAAATCAAAAAATTAAGACAGGAAAAAAAATAAACAACATGAGATATTATATGCGGTCATCCATCCGAGTCAGAGTAACTCCAAGTCAAAAGGGCTTAACTTAACTGACAAAAAAAGCGCGTGGTTAATTTCCATTTCTGACTACACCGACACTCAACCAAATTTGTAACGCAGTCTACCATAGAAAGCCCACGTAATAATCAAAGCGACAAAGCAAGTAACACCCAATCAGCTAAATGAACGAACGAACGAGATTTTCCTTACATTTAATCTTTCATCTTTTTCTTTCAGGTAGAAAAGCTCGATTCATATTTGAATCAGCTCAAGTCTGCACTGAATAGAACAAACACACACGTCACAGAGATCAACGAAACTTTAAGAAAGGTTTGCCATATGATGTGAAAGTATAATAGCGTAAAAAACAAATGGAAAACGTCTAAATGCTATGAGGCTATTGTTAATGACTTTCATGTATAGAAAAGACTAAAAATACATGGTACTTTCCCCTTTTTCAAGTATCCCTGCTGTTCTAACCCGTGCAAAAACGGACGGACCTGCTATCTAGCGAACGAGAGGTGCAAATTCATATGTGCTTGTGCTCCAGGTTTTGTTGGAGAAAAATGTGAAAAAGGTAATATCATTTCTACAGAAAACCGCATTATAATTTTTTCCTCTATAGCTGTGGGTAGGGTAAACTGCTAAGTTAATAATTAGCAGAAAATGGGGTAGAATATAATGGCAGCATTATTCTTACTTATTACCATAAAGCTACAATTTTTGTTGAACGATAAAATATTTATCGGGGATGACCGTTTTTACCTCTGTGACGCTATATCTTTTCCTTTATAAGGTCAGTGCAAATATCACTTATTTCGTATTTAGTAAAAATTGAGTTTCGGGTGCACGTGAATTTTGAAAAATTTCACGGTAATTTTGATCTGAGCTTTAGCTTCGCAGTTATCATGATTACAGTTTCGACACTTGCAAAATACATTGACGCGAATTAAATGAAAGACTTGGAGAATTAGCAGTATGTAGGCATCAATATGCATACTTAGTTAAGCGTCTAATCAACTTTCTGATGTGTTCAATTTGTCCAAGCTGCTGAGAACTGTAAGGAGATTAACGACGACAACAAAGGAAAGGGCTTGTAAGTAGTGTTCGAAGCAATACGTAAAAGTGATAGCATTAATCTTTCCAGACTTTCACAACGCCATGGATGCATGATGGCAGTTAAGCATAGCGTTTTGACAGACATTATTCACCTCTTCATCCTTGTCTGGTTACTGCTTCCTATTTCGGTGCTTTTCTACCTTAGAAAAATTAATATGTTGCATTCCTCAGATTCGCTGTAGTTTATAGTAATTCTCTCAACGTCTTTCGAAATGTTTTGAAGAGTGCAACTTAAGTTGACAGCGATAGCATAGGTGGACGAGCAAGTTAATTTGCAATCTGAGGGCAAATCAATCTCCAGCGCCATGATCTCAATCTTTTAAGGGGACTTAAAACTCAGTAACAACTTGTGCTATCTCTAAATATGTTATCGAACTTATGGCAAGCCATTGCTCGTTGGACTCTCGAGGTGAACGAAACACAATAGTTAATGGAAACATTTGAGAAATCGACAAAATATTAAACATTGCACTTCGCAACGGTACTTTGGGTAAGTAAATGCTTATAGCACACTTCTTCATTGTCTCTGAAAAGTTATTAAAATCACCTTTGGATCCTATTTATCACACCAAAGATAGGGATTTCTATTAAAGGAAACGTTCTTATTTTTCAGTCCTGTCATTAACCAATCCTTCCCTCTGAAGTTTGGATCAACCAAAATTTTAGTTTACTGTCACACGACGAGTCTTGGTTTGTGTGGAGACGGTGGTTGGACACTGGTTATGAAGATAAATGGATCTAAGGTGAAATGATAATCGAAAGATGGAAACTCGTGTAATCTTCCATTACAAAACCTATTTTTTTTTAACTTACAATATTACCATTATTTTGCAGAACACCTTCAATTATGATTCTGAGATCTGGAGCAATAAGACCGGATTGAACATTCAGGCGGGGATGACAGGGTTAGATGACCAAGAGACCAAGCTACCGACTTACTGGAAGACAAACTTTACTAAGATCTGCCTTGGTATGAAAACCGGCGGACAAGTAAACTTTATGTTGATGAACAAGACGGCTGAATCTTTGCACTCATTGATTGCCGACGGGGAATATCGTAATACGTCACTTGGTCGTGATGCATGGAAGTCGCTTCTCGGTTCCGAGGGCTCCTTGCAACTTAATTGTAATAAAGAAGGGTTTAATACAATCAGCCCGCGAGGTAACCAAGCTAAGGCAAGAATTGGCATCCTTGGTAACGACCAAAATGACTGCGAAAGCTGTGATTCTAGAATCGGTTTTGGTACAGCACCGGGTGCCAACACCTGTGGAAACGTGGCAGCACACACAGCAGACAACGGAAACAGAAATGTCGCAGTCATGGGATATATATTTGTTCAGTAATTAGACATTACTAGCGTCCATTTTGGGACGTGTCATTCTTATTTATCGTTTTTGCCGATTCACAAACTTTCTTAAAGTGCCTTCGAGACGATTTTTTTTTACGCAAATATTTAGCTTATCACACGTAAAGAGCAATTCTGATAGAAGAAAAATTTCAAAGAATTCAAAAATCGGTTTTTCCGGGCCCCAAAGTGCTCCTATTTTGTCTGAAAGTGTCCCGTGGACTGGTAACGAATAAGCGAGTGATGAAGTAGAAAACTGAGAAAACCGTCTCTTGACACTTACGAATCTCTCACGTCTCTCGTAATTTTGTATCATTCGGCGTTGAAATACTCTTGAAAGAAAAGCTATGTATACCTACCTTCAGCAAGCTCTACCGAGAAATGTGATTCATCTTACTCAAGTAAAGTAAAGAAGAGGTAAAGAAGAAATGGAAGTTGCGAGTACGATTCAGTCCTACGAAAGAGAACCACGTGCATCAAACAACAAAAAACTCCCTTTGCTGAATGGTTAGTTTGTGTTTTGTTTTCTATGGCGAAGTCTTTGTTAAGAATAAATGCTGTGTTCGTTTCTGTGGCCAGAACATTTTATTTCTTTGCACTAAGTGCGGCGAAGGTTCCCCTCGGTTAGTTCCCTTGAGTTTCGTCCCTGTGGAGTAATCCCCTCAGCAAACAAAAAGCGAAATTTTCACGAAAGAATCAGCTGTATTACGAGGCGCGATGATTTTTTGCTGAAAAGTCGTCGGGCAGTTTCACTGCAAGTTGCTCCTTTCCTCAGAAATTGCAAAGACAGAGGCTATCGGCTATCATAGGCTATAGGTGTGCATGTATATAAAATCATCAATCCCTTTTACTGTTCTGGAGGATCCCGAGGACGAAAAATGTTCTTTTGAGGTATTGTGGATTAAAATGCGCCCGACTCGTCTCCCAAGGGGCATCTCAAGTATTATTGCTGGTGTTGTTTATCATCCACCAAAAGCAACAAATTCTATGATGTTGGACTATTTGACTAAGTGTTTAATGGACTTGGAGTCTAAATACTAAAATTGCGGTTTTCTAGTACTCGGTGACCTTAACCATCTGAACGATCCAAGGCGCAAATCAAACTTCAAACTGAAGCAGATTGTGCATTTTCCTACTCGTGGGCAAAACACTCTCGACAAGATTCTTACCAACCTCCAGGATTACTACGACACCCCGGTTGAACGTCCCGCTTTTGGTCTTTCAGATCATAGCTCAGTTGAAGTACAGCCAAAGCAAAGGGTTAAAACATCGCAAACAATACAAACTGTTATTTCAAGGGAATTACGACCAAGTAATCGTGTTGCAATGCAAACGTATTTATATGAAGTCGATGTTACTGCGGCGATGATCAGAGCTATGACCACTTGCAAAGGAAAGGTGTCGATGTTACAAACGATCATCAAAACTGGCCTTGATTCTATCTTACCCGCCGATGAAGCCCAAAATTTTCCACCGAACAGAACCACCATGGATAAATTCAACCGTTAAGACCTTGATTCGAAAGCGACAAGTGGCCTTAAACCGAGGAGACTGAGCGGAGTTTAACCATCTGAGAAATCTTGTTAACCGAGAACGTAAAAGATGTCGTACGAAGTATTACGAGTGTAAAGTGCAACATCTAAAGGGATGTTCCCCAGCTAAGTAGTGGGGCGAAATCAAGAAACTTAGTGGAATGGAGGGGTCACGTGATAATGTCCTAAAGTCCGTTCATCACTTAGAAGGTGCTCGTGGTCTATCAGCAGCTGACCTTGCAAGCCACATCAACACCGCTTTCTTGGCCCCAATGGAGGTTTTTGAACCGCTTACCCACAATCTATTTAGGGGAGACAATTTTGTGTCTTCGAGCAGAACTATGAATGATGATTTCTCACCAATATCAGCGTTTTCTATCCTTAGAAAGTTATGCTCTATTAATCCAGCTAAGGCACAAGGACCGGACGGTATCCCCGGATGGCTCTTAAAGGAGAATGCGGATCTTTTGGCGCCATCCATCATGGATATCATGAATGCCTCCCTTCGTGAAGGCCGTTTGCCCTTATCTTGGAAAGAGGCAGATATCGTCCCTGTCCCCAAGCAAAGACCTATCCAAGACATCAATAAGCACCTTCGCCCTATCTCCCTTACGCCCATCCTTTCCAAGATTGCAGAAGATTACATTGTTCATGAATTTGTGATACCTGCCGTGTTAAAGAAAATCGACAAAAGACAATATAGGACAATACCTAAATCATGCACTACGCACGCACTTGTTAGCATGATCCATAACTGGCACGTCAGCTCCGATGGGAATTCGGCCGTGATTAGGGTGGTTCTATTTGATTTCCGTAAAGCGTTCGATCTTATTGATCTCAACATCTTAGTGGGTAAACTCTTAGATTACGATATTCCGAACCACATATTATGCTGGATTGTTGACTTTTTATCGGATAGAAGACAGAGAGTTAAACTGGCCGAGGATTGCTTCTCCGAATGGCGTTACATTCGTTACAAATATGTTGATGATACCACAATTTCAGAGGTTAAAGGCCAAGAGAACTGTATTCAGCAAATGGTAGACGATCTCGCAATACAAGCAAGGGAAGATGGTTTTCAGTTAAACGAAAGGAAATGTAAAGAGCTTAGGATTAGCTTCGCAAAAAACGAACCAGAATTTGATCCTATCTGGGTTAACCGTCAGACCCTTGAGACCGTGAAAAGTATAAAATTATTAGGACTCAATAAAAGTAGTGATTTAAAATGGAATGCCCATGTGTTAGAGCTAGTTAGGAAGGTTTCTACAAGGCTATATTTTCTAAGACAGTTGAAGAGATCGCATGTCGCCACAAAAGAGCTTCTTATATTTTACATTACATGCATTCGGTTATTCCAAGTTATTTAAGCGAAGACCTAGAAAGACTTCAAAAACGTGCTATGAAGATTATTTATCCCGAGCTTTCGTATACCAAGGCTCTGGAAATATCTGGACTTTTAACGCTGTATGATAGAAGAGAGGCAATCGCAGCAAAGTTGTTCAATGAAATATATGCAAATCAATCTCACAGTCTTCATAAACTATTTCCAAGCAAATACCAACCCGGCTACTATCTGAGAGAACAAAGAACATTTATTCGTCCGAGTTGTAAAACTGAAAGATGCAAGAATAGCTTTCTCTTAAGTTACGTTTATCGTAGGTGATAGTTAGATATTAACTTGTCTCTTATTTTACATAGGAATTCGACGCATGCTTGTAATTTTGTCATTCTGTAACAGTTTTTAATTAGGAAATTAATTAATTAGTTGTAATTTAGTAAGCTGGAAATTTCGCGTTTGTAAACCTTATCTATCTATCTATCGTCGTCGAGCCGATCAAACGAAAAATGTGTGAGTTTAAAGTTATCTGATCTCAAATTAGGACTTAAATGTCTGACCGCTTCAAGAGTTTTATTGATTTTGATTTGTTGATGCCAAGTGACCGTGTGGTCCTAGGTTGGGCTCAGTTTGCAAATGAGGCAGGGTTACCAGTCTGGATTCATTGGTCGTGTGTCGTGGTGAATGTGTACACGGTTCGCAAGAAACGTGGAAAATGGAAATTTTGGAAGCAAACTGCCGTTTTGCGTCGGTCTCACGGGAAGGATTGAGCTGGTAGGGAATTGAAATGAAACTACAGTATATGTACTTGGGTTCTGCGTTCAATTTGTGGCCGCTCGGACATTTTTCGCTTTTCGGATCGGGCGTTTGGAAATGGAGTGTGCAGCCTTGTTATCTTATCTTAGGAGTAGGAAACCAAGAAATGGTTAACTCGCTAAAATGGCCCCGTTTCAGCAAAGTAATCGGTCAGACAACAAGCAGTGCACTGTGGAAGTAAGGTGAAGTATTTTTATTGAGAATTTGACTGTGTTTTTTTATTTCCAAGAGCGGGTGTATATATTTCCATACAAGCTCTTATAATTTCATCATGACGCATATTACGCAAGACGATCGTCTTTGACAAAGAATTTTAAATTGAAATTTGGAAGAACCTTTCTAAGGCCACTCTTCTGTGCCACTGAGCACAATGAGGTTGAGTGAAAAATGCTTCGTACGTAACAACGGATAATTTCTGTTATTAACAAGGCTTAGATGCCGATTGTGTTTCAGTTTCCGTTGTTTTTAGCACAGTAATGCAACCAAACGTTACTTAATTTCTTCCGAAGTTAAAATGAAAATTAAACACAAGATTAGTTTTAACACCAGTGATCCCTACCTATATTAAAAGTCGAGCCTGTTGTTGGTTTGAACTATACAACCGATAATGAACTTTCCTAAAAAGAATATACATATATATACATTGACAACAAATCCATGAGTAGAACCTTGTCGCTCTAACTCAACCCCTCAGTTACCCTTCCAGCTTTTAATTGGTATAATTTTTAATGGCCTATTTCAAGATTGGATTCGGTTCGATTATCTTTGAGAGAATCATTTACAGTAAGCTTGGAATAAGAATCGCAGAAAGAAAACTTGTCACCTCTCCGTGTGCAAGATAAAGCACTTCCTCATTAGTGATGGTATCTTGGTTGGCGAATCTGTTCCCTTTTTAGACGTAAAAAACGTGAATATAGCAACACCTACATCTTGGAATGAATAAATTTGGGAGACGTTAGCAAACAGTGGTTGCAAAACAAAAAATCCCCCATCTGGGCCCAGTTGTAGAAAGGGCCGGGTGGATAACTCTATCCAACGGATAAATCGCTATCCAGCGGCTAAGTGATAGCAAAACGTACTGTGTTATCCACCGGATAGAGATTTATCCTGTGGATAGTGTTATTGGACCTTCGAAAAACCGAAGCCTGTTGTTTACGCTTTAACCATGAGAATTTTATTTAACCACGTGGCAAATCCAAACGCAATACAAAACTAACGTTACATTTTATCAGAAACTAAAATACTCGCTATAATATTAGCGGAGCTCGCATTCTTATAAGTAACAGTAGTGACCCAGTAACCTATCAAGGCAGAAAACATTGGACTTACGATCGTACTACCGACCTCACAAGGTGCTACCTTTAGCATGCGCAGCCAACTGCATTGCGGGAATTAGTTAAGCCATTATGTAATCCGAGGAGTGAGGGAAAGGTAGGCGTCAGGAAACACCGGCAGATGATAATGAAGTGCGCATACTCGAGTGCCGAACTTTAGTGTAGTGTACCGCGGGCACACGGTTAGGCATCACACGAGAGCCTTGAGTGGGCTAGAAGATGTGAGGCCGCGCAGGCCAAGGATTTGCAACCCGTGTTTTTAGCGGGAAGTCAAACTGGTGAGGTTGTAGTTGAACAGTAATTCTCATTAAATGACTGTGAATATATGAAAATCATATATGTGAACTCCGGATAAAGACGCGAATAAGAAAGCGATCTTCGCAGTAACGAACACTACTTGAGCAGTAGTGAAAATAAGGCCTGAAAAAAATTCAGGCCTGTAAGGGATTTGAACCCATGACCTCTGCGATACCGGTGCAGTGCTCTACCAACTGAGCTAGCAAGCCAACTGGGAGCTGGTCAGTATGTTGGTTCCATATAAACCCGTGAAGTGATGAATAAATGACCGTGAATATATGAAAATCATACGTGTAAAGTGCGGATAAAGACGTGAATATGAAAGCGATCTTCGCAGTAATGAACACTACTTGAGCAGTAGTGAAAATAAGGCCTAAATAGAAATTTTCTATTTTCACTACTTCTCAAGTAGTGTTCATTACTGCGAAGATCGCTTTGATATTCAAGTAATTCTCTTTATTTTGCAATTTCTAATCAACTTGCAAAGCAAAAATACAATAATACAATACCTTTTGGCTTTCAAACGTTCATCTTTGTATTAATTGTAATTGTTTACGATATCTATTTCTCTGAAGGTCAAGCTGTCAAAAGTTGAAGCAGGCGAGTCTTAAGTAAGTTGACCTCCTCGCTTTAGAACTGTATGATTATATAATTTTAACATGTGATATTATTCAAACTGCTTCAAAAACTACTTGCTTAAGCTTTCAACAGTGCATGATGTTATAAAAAATGCTCATATCCAAACTAAAAATCGATGTAAGGAATTGGTCGCACGATTTGTGAGTTTTAAAGTGTGGGAATCTGGAAAAGCAAGGATCCTCCATTAATTAGGACTGGAATTAATTGGGATGCTTCTATTTAAATTCCTGGTTTTACTTTGACCTGCCTTCTCCCCTTTAGCGTTTAGAGTACGAAGATGAATAGAACATTCTTTTGTATTTTGACGCATAGAAGTAAAATTGATTGTTAGTACGTTAACTTTAGAGGTTAAAAATTAAATTAAGAGAGTCACCTTGACCATATCGTACTTTTTATCCTCCTTTGGAAATTTGTTCAAATAACATGGCCACTGTCAGTCTCATCCACTCTCAATGTCCACTGAACTCATGGAAAAATGATAACCTCTCTACATATTTAAATAAAGAAAGGAAAGCCTTCCCTCTTACCATGGATAGTTCTTTTGTGCATGAGCAAATTGCTATTTTTAATTACTCTCTTACTGGTAGACCCAGGGCTGTGGTTTGCTACCAATTCTCGACCATTACTTTCTTTTAATAAGAAGGTTATTTTTCCCATTATCGGTACAAACCTGCTCTAATATGAACATGAGGGTTATCATTCCAAGTAGGCTAACTTTGATAATTAGTTGTCAAAATATCTTGATCCTGTCATCACAAGCAAAATTGACTCACTTTACCTGACTAACTAAACCAATTAAAGAGAACCTTGAGACATATATTTTCTCCTTTTGAGGTGTGCATCAAAGTTTTGAAATTATGGAAGGCTTGAACTACAGGTTTATAGGTAATCTGCATGCGTGTGCATGTTTTCAATATTAAAACCGGGATTGTGGCTACTTCGAATAACTTTACTACAAGCCGAACAGCTACAGGGAGGGGTTGTAAAGAATTTCTCTTCGTTTGTTCATTAGTAAACGTTTATTTTTCTAAGAATCTTGTTTATCCGGCCAACACCGAATTCAAATTCTTTCAACAAAATGTTATACTCTTTTGAAAATTCTTTGATCTCCTAGTATCTGTTACTATTAATGTTATTAAAATTAATAGATTTAAAAAGGTGTCGAAAATGTGAAGATGACTTTTCCTTTCAATTTTCTACGCCTATCAGAGGACGCTGAAACATTATGGAAAAACGGTGGATCAAGTCGTCATACCTGGCGACTTCAAGAGTAGCTCTGTAAGAAAAGCCCATACTATTCTGGCGTATTATTATTGACTCACTGTTCTTACGTGTATGATCTTCAATCGACTGTTGAATTCTTAACTCGAATTCGTTTGCCGTCGTTAATCTTTCCACTTTGGCTCATTTTCCCAAATCGAAATCATCAGTCACACTCAATAGAATACAATTCCAACTGATAGTGACATTATACACTACATCTGATGAAGAAAGCATTCCTTATCTTCGAAAAGTCGTTGAAAACACCAGGAACGCCATCGAAGGTCCTAAGCTACTTGATAATACCAGGGTAATTGAGTATTATCAACTGAGTTGATAATGTAAATTGGCCACCGTAAAGAGTTTTAAAGCTGACCTTTTGAGCTTTTGCCCTTCGTCTATGGCTCTGACGAAGAGTTAACGCTCGAAAAGTCAGCTTTTAAACTCTTTACGGTGTTCAATTTTCGTTATTAACTGAGTTGATAATACTCAATTACCTTGTTATACTCTCCCACCGACGCAGTACCACAGTTTTTTAGAAACGTATATCCCCTTATTTATTTATGCTTAAAAATACCGCTGGCTACCATGCGTGCTGATCGCTTTGCAAGTTGTGAGATCATCGTCCCCTGGTTACAGACCCCGTTGATTTTCCCCCTCATCCCCCGGACTTGTCCTTAAATCCCCTTGAATAAAATTTTTTGACAGCCAGTGCCAAAGAGTTTTATTACAGATTTTATTATAATGAAGGGCTAGAAAATAAACTAACAAGATCTCCGCTTTTAGGGTTGGCTAAATCTATTTTATTCCTAATCAAAGTATTATTTCTTTAAGGCCAACGAATTGGAGCTCTTATCTCGCTTATAAAATGATAATACCATGGCTTATCACAAAATTTGCAAAGCTGCAGATATAGATAACAAAGGGCGAAATAAAGACAAATCATTTCCTATTGAATTAAGAACAATTTTCCGAAGAATGATCTTTTTTTTAAACGTTTTCGTAAGCAATAACACTTGGTTTGTTTAAAGTCGCACCATGCAAAAGTGCTGGTTCGGTGAGCAGGAAAGATAAAGCGATTCCTACTTTCTCATTGGTTAGCCGAGCAGGCAAAGAAAGCCTTTCTTGTCCACTGCGACTGCACGCCTTCTTCCCCGGAATGGAAGAGTTAAATGCTTTTGATTAAAAAAATTAAACCAAGCCTTAAAAAAAGTAGCTTTTCCAATTCTTAGCCCCTGCTCATGAAAAAGAAGATGAGGAATTTCTCCACTACCATTCAGCGGCGCTTGGTCAACAAAGAAACTAACAAAATGGTAAAAAAAAAAATTTTCCTAAAAGCAAGGGCCAGCCTACTTTTCATACGGTTCAGCAGTTCATTTTCTCGATAGGCGGCAGCGTCTCCTCTTGGTATCCCTCATCAAGTGAAGTTTCCTCAGATTACAAATGCACGCTCTTGCTTGCTGAGTGATTCTGTTGCCCGTATAATTTTTCGCTTACATTTTTGATAGGCATTACTCCACTCTGCTGCGCTAATGTAGTAGCTTGCCCTACAGACACGTATGCTCTATTGTCGTAAGCAATAACACTTGGTTTGTTTAAAGTCGCACCATGCATATCTGTATTCTCATACACAGCTTCTTGAGCCACATCACTTCCTTGATTGACTTTGTCGGTGGACAGCACGCGACATCTGGGGCCGAACCTAAGGTAGGAACCAAATAACACTCCTGTTAAGGTACTAAAGATCACATGACACCTATTTGAAATGTACGTGAAATTGAAAGCATTTCAAGAGAATCGAATGCCCACCCAGCCCAGCTAAACTGCTATTTCAACTTCTGATTTAATTTTTTTATAATCTTCATAATTCTATTCAGATAAAAATTAATGGCCTGCTTCCTTCTTCTGATCTTTCCTTTTCCCGCGACCTCTTTCTTAGCCCGTTGAGGGGCCTAAAGTCGATTTCGGCATCACTATTTGAGAAAACCCTATGACATAGCGAAATAGTTATTCATCTGATCCTCTTTGAAATTCAAAAGAGACTCTTCTACCTGGTAGATTTGATAATCAGGGTGACAGCAATGATAAACCCCAGCAAGAACAGGGATCCAAGGGCAACACCCACTATAACCGAGGTTGAGGCTGATCTTTCGTCATCTATCTCATCTTCTTGATCTTCTTTATTCTGAGGTAGAGGCATTGACTCGACATTTTTGATGCTAACACCCATCGACCCTTCAATAGATTTCATATCGCTTTTCACGATGTTTTTCAGGACATCTTCGCTGACCAAGCTATCTCTGACACCCCCAGGAAGCTGTAGGTAGAACGCCAACAACGTTATGCTAGGATCAACCGGTGACGGCATTGGGTAACCAGGCACAATCTGAACCATATCGGCTGAAAATTTCATGCTATCAGATGATCGTCTCCGACGAAGACTGAAATAGATCAAACAGTATATGTGACCTTCCACAAGTATGTAGTCATTATTACTATTATTATTGTCACTGTCGTCATCATTTTTATTTCAGTATGGCGGTATTACAACGTGACAAGAAAAATTTCGTTCAATTCTCAAGAATCAAGGTTGCGAAAAAATGAAGATTAGGAACTGTTAAGTCCAAAAATTCTACCTCCTTATGTATCCGGAGGTTACATTTCTTTGAGATGTTATTGTGTCCCCTTTTACAAACTGTTACTTCTCTTCCCTCTTGAATATATATTCTAGGTTGTTGGCTAAGTTTTTTCCCGTCACTTGGTAGTTTTATTTAACATTATATTTTTTCTGCTCTCTATCCTCTGGGTGTTATCCACCTTCATCGTTTCCATCCCTGTAGATTACCTGGAGAAAAACGCGGTCCTTAGAACTCCTATCTCGTACTCCCCAACACGTGTAGTTCATAGTGGACCCGTGGGTGCTATCAGGGCTTAATTCCGTATTCACTCCACTGATAGTCAATCAGAGCGCTTTATAGCAGCAATTAGCTTACCTCATCTGATGAATATAGTTATCACTGATTTCACAATTCGCCCCTTTGCAAGGAATTTGCTTTCTTCTTCATTAAGTTTGCTAATTGCTTTTTATGATTGATGATTGGTTTACCTTGTTTGACAAGATGCTCCACCATCTGCACAATATTTATTAGCTGCACTTGCAACTTCTCGTTTAAAATCCGCTTCCATCTCCTTCCACTATGATGGAAAGATGAAAAACAGAAAAGGGAATAATTCCATGAATACTGCGACAAAAGGGAGTAGCATCGGTTCATTCACTTCAAGCTACAGTGAAAATTGTTTCTGTGTCTAGCAATATATCGTGTGATAAATGTGTAGGACATTTTTCATCGTCTTCCTTTAATAAAATACATAATAATCAAAGATCACCTTCTTCATATCAAAATCTGTCATTTTTAACATTACTGCTTCCTGCATTTCCTTTGTTGATGGAGTGCGAGGAATATCTGTCGGATTGAAAGTCAGCACGTGGGTCGACGTAAAAATCCCCTCGGTTGTTGGAGAATCAACTATAATCGTGAAAAGATAAGACAAAACATTGTGCTGAAAATTAAATATACGTTGTGAATTTGTAGAATAGCATGCTCTACCTCTTACTTAGGTTCAAGATTAGATTTCTTAGCGGATTTGATATTTGTATGTTCTATCGTTAAGTAATGTGTAAAATGCGTTTTGTTTAATAAAAAAAACAATCCTTATGATAAAAGCACAATAATAGACCCCATAAATGTGTCAAAACTTGAATTTTTAACAGAAAGACACAGGGACATATCTGACATATTAAAAAGAACGCAGTTGACACATAGACTCTTCACACAAAAAGTAATGAACTGAAGTCTCCAAGACCGTGAACTAAGACCAATACGTGTCAGATAATTACATTGCGCAAATGCATTAAAAATACGTTTATCTCTACTTGTATTTCAATAAGTTTTTACAATGTTTTGTGAAGCCTAATGATTACACAGTCAAACATTATCAAAGTCAGCCTTTGCTTGCCTACCTGAGCAATAGTCACATGTCTTTCGACAATGCTTCATCGTCCAATTTTGGTTATTTTGACAAAAGCCATTATAATTGGAGCCAGCTGAACAGAAGCTGGCATAGGCTGGGTCATCAGAACAGTTATCTGTAGTCATTGAACAGAAAAATAGGAGTTACCGTGAATTCCAATTAGTACTTGCTAACAATTTAAAAATGATCGTTCCTTAAAGTTAAAATTACAGTAATCCAATAGTCCAAATCTAATTATATCAGAGCAAGAGATTATAAACTAACTAGTTTATAATCCCTTGATGAGAGGTAGTTCTTGAGCATATTTTTGAGTCATTTATATCGAACGGAAAAACTAATAGTGCTTTTCACTTGTTTAAAAAACGTGTCCCTAGTGACACGTTTCAAGATATCCCGGTGATGAGCACAGTAACATTTTAAAAATAAGATTTAATGCATTTTTTTGTTTTTTGAAAAGGTATGCGTTGGTGACATTGATCCATCGATGCATACAGAAAATAATCTAAAACAAAAATAACAATAATAATAATAATAATAATAATAATAATAATAATAATAATAATTAACTCCGGAAAAGGAAGCGTCTCCACAACCCTACCTCCACAAAATCCGCATGATTTAGGGCAGTTCTTGACAGTCCAGTTGAAATATTCTGTACAAAAAATTCCATAGGTAGGAAGTTGGGAACAAATGGGGAGCCCAGGGTCGTCAGAACATACTGTGTGGACTGCGTAGAAAGGAGAGAGAGAAGAAAGGAATCGCGTTCCCGAAAAAAATTACATGTTGATAACTATTTGACTTCATTGCACTTTTGATTGAGATAATGCGTTAATGCATTAGATATGATTTATTGTAAGATATTTTAATGATGATTTTTTGGACATATGAACTCCTTGAGTAATTATAATTACTCAAAGAGTATCAGTCATTGTTGTAGTGCACGGCTCCGTGGAAGAGCACTTCTCAGTTATGATGGATATCGTGGATGAATGAAGTTTCCATTCCTTCATTCAGATCAAGAACAAAGCTTAGTACGTATTGTCCCAGGGAGAATCAGTCACGCCAATGTGGCAGCAACAGCAACAACTGGTATGGCAGTATATACTGAGCTATTTAATTGAGAAGTTGTGAACGGAATAAAAAGTAAAAAAGAAAAATATGTTTTGAAACATTAGAAGAAAAGGCAAAAACACAACTATATTTAGAAAAAAGGCAAAAGGACGACATTACCGTTGCAAAATATCAAGAGCCTTATTGAAGAGGTACGAGTTATGTTTTCTATCTGTGCAGTGTAAGTACCTGGTATGGACGGTTTGTGGGTGTACGTAGTGGTCACATTGCTGGAACTGATAGGTTTCGAAGAAGGCTTAAGGGTTGTCGGTAACGGATACCATGTTGGAGATGGATTTTGTCCTGAGCAGCTTCCTCTGGATACGGTGACGTCATCAATGGCTATGTCACCAGTGAAGGAATATCCTACTATTCCTTCAAATGTCAACTGCAAAAGCAAAGATGGATTTTCTTGATAAATTTATTTAGATGTAGAGGGTAGAGGGAAAGATGAAACCTCACCAGCTGCCAAATGTTTAGTGGAGATGAATTTAAAGATTGATTGAACATAATTAATATTGTCAGAAAAAAAAAAGAAAAGTTTTCTCGACAAACGTGGTTGCTGAATTTTGGTGAGTGTGTGTTTTCTGTTAATTTGATTTTTTTCGATGAAAATCATACTTGGCCATAACTATTATGGTCAATATTATGATAATTTTCACTTTACTACTCGCGATCTTATTAAAAAAATATGTTTCCGTTTTCCGAGATAATTTCTTCCAACAAGACTTACTGTTGTATCTGAATGAAATGTCCTTTCTGCCTTTATCCAACGGTTTCCATGATTTCCAGTAGAGTTAAATATTAAATGATTTTCACTGTAGACATTAAGTGCCCCAATAGTATCTCCATACATGTGATAATAGAACCTAAGGCAAGAGACTTCTCCGTTTCCGTTTAAATAGAGCATCAACTTGGCATTGTCACCATCAGTTTGATAAGTCGCTTCGATGTACATATAGTAGCCTGAGAAAATGAAAATTGTCAACAAATATAATAAAGTGATAGGTATATAAGTTATGACAAGCCATTTTACCATTCAAGGGCAACGGAATGCGTAAAATATTTTATAGTGTTGGATGTAGAGTTGGGCAAAAATACGGAAAGAGAGTGAAGTAACAAAATTCCCGTAATAAACGATTTAAACTTTGATTTGCCGAACTTTTCTAAAGTAAGAACTTTTTAGTGGAAAAGATCATCTGGTTGTCATCAAAGATATCAAAATGACCTTGTTTGTATTGTTTTCTTCATTCGCACTCTTTAAGAGATCAGTAAGAATCTATGATGATGCCGTTAGGTTTATATAAAAAAAAAGACGCTATTGTAGAAAATAATGAAATCCTAAAGGAATTATAAATCACCTATTCGATGGTAGTATATGTAGTACAGGTGGATAATTTGTTCGTCGCGAAAAAAGAAAAAGACGTTGTCCTTTTAATAATGTTTTAACAATTTTGCTTTAGTTGATAGTTTTCAAATATCAACGCTTGGATTTCTGGGCAAGTCGCTGGCCTTTGTCATAATGACAGGAACTATCAACCAAGCGAGCGCACTGAATGAAAAAAGTAGTAGTGTTTTTGCAGGCCCTCATTTTCAGTGTCAGATCTCTTAAAGGCCTCTCGATGGTTCACGTTGTTGGAGGCTTTAAACTTACTCGCGGGCGATAAAACACCCTCGTCATTTTTTCTTCGAATGGCCTTATGTAGAGTAGACCGCATTCCGTCACACGCGTATTTTGTAATTTCTTTGAAAGTGACAGAATGACAGCCAATAAAAAGAGGACTCACTTACTTTAAATTCCACGCGATTCTTAGAAGAGAAAGAAAAGTGCTTGATTTAACTGTCTCTATGGCATTTTAAGATATCGCTAACCAAAGAAATTGAAATGTAATCGTTAGTTTTAAGGAGTCTTACCAAAGCCTGTGGTGTGATCGTAGTCTGGGCCAGTGTTAGAAGATGGCGTCGATCCACTATTTCGTGTCCAGTCAAAGACATCTGAGGAAGACTGCCACCAATCAGAGCACAGTCCACTGTCAAAATTACACGAGGTGGTTGCTGAAATATTCAATAAGATAAGATAAGACTAATCTTGATTTTCTTGCATATAATTATTCAACAAGGTTGATCACTGGGCTCCTTACAAGGTAAGAACTGTCTCCTATATTCTCGTGGGTGGTTTCTCCGAGCTCGGAAGCGAACCTTTTAATTTAAACTGAGATAAATTAAGTCTCATTTTTTGAGTGTGGTATTAATATTAATAAGGAAATTTGGAAAGTGAAGTGTGTAAAAAGGGTGGAAAAGAGTTTTAGCCGGAGATGCTATTGAGAGTGAGCTCGTTATGAAAACTTTGTGGGTGTTTGTTGACATGTATAACCCGTGAAAATTGATTTTGAGTGACTTAGCCCTGCAGTTTTCAAGATTGTGAGAGTAAAAGAGAGAAACACGCGTAGCGTCTATCAAAATGTTCATGCTATGCACCTGGTGATGTAACAACTGTTGGAAGTAATGTTGGATACGCTGTCTGCCCAAGACAGCGTCCTCTCTTAATCGAAACGTCATCAATGGCAATGTCTCCCTCATAAGATGATCCTACTATCCCCTCAAACGTGACCTAGGATAAAATTTGAGTAAAGGACGTTTTATAAATGACCGACTGTAGAGCTGTGTAACTGGACAATAAACTTTTACCCCACTTTGTCAACGATCCTTTACCTTATGGAATTATTCATGCTGTAATCAAAGAACTTATATTTTCGCACAAACCACCCTGCTTAGATTGCGTTGTGATAAGCAATCACTTCAGATAAGAGTTATTTACATCTGGGATTATGAGGTGTTTAAAAAAAAAAAAAGAAAAAATGATATTGCATTTGTGACTTACAACTTTGTCCAAATAAATAGTTCTTTCGGCCTTCTGCCAGTAGTTGCCTTTGTTTCCTGAGGCACTGAATACAACCTTTTTTCCACTGAAGACATTCAGGGTCCCCATGGTGTATCCGTACATGTGATAGTAGAATGTAAGACAAGCCTCATCTCCATTTCCGCATAAGGAGAGCTCAAGCTTTGCTTTATCACCATTAACTCGAGGGGACGATGCCTCGATGTGCATGTAATATCCTGAATAGTAACGAAATGTATGCGTATATATATAAAACAGAACCGAATGAAAAAATTACAATGATGTCTCTATCTAAGGTACTGCAAAATTCATTGGTAACATTAACGCACGAGTTTGTTTATATCGAATGGCCAATGTGACGGAAAGATGGCATAGTGTAAGTGAGTGAGTACGTAAGTAGGTAAGGAAGTAGAGCTGACCAATGACTAACGCTTCAAACGTCAACTATGTTGGTCAACTTGCGTTATCATCTCAGTCGATTAAACAAATTCATCTTTAAAGGTTAATATATATTTCAAAATAGTTTATCTAGATAGCAATGGTAGACGGTTGGATAATCTTGACCAATATCTTTTGAATGTGAATTACGTAAATGAATAGTCTCTTAACGCTTCAGTTTCTGGGTCAGGATAAGCTTGGACAGTGCAGCCCATTGACTCGTATGATAGCAAGTACACACCTGATCCACTAGTGTGGTCGTAGGATGGTCCTGTGGACGAAGATGGAGTTGAACCCCAACGTCGCGTCCAGTCGAAATCATCTGAGTAAGACTGCTCCCAGCCCGAACACAGACTATTGTCAAAATTGCATGATAGGTTGGACGCCGTTAAACCAGGAACAGGGAAAGAGGACATCTTGCTTGTTATCCACGACTTTAAATGGCGAATGTTGGCATATACAGTGTATTTCAATGGGTCTGCGCAGGGCAATCCTCCCCAACTAGTAGCTCCCTCCAGATACCATTTTCCACTGAACTCACATACAAGTGGTCCACCGCTGTCGCCATGACAACCTCCTATTCCACCTTGATCTTGGCCAACGCATATCATGGAGTCATCGATTTTACCTGGGTATGACGCAAGACAGCGCTGTTTTGATACCAGAGGTATATCAACTTGCATCAACTCGTTGGGAGAGATTCCATAGTACGAAAGTCTACCCCAGCCAGTTATCCAGCACTTTTTGTTAGGATTATCGAAAGGAAGCTGAAAACTTGTATCCGGAAGGCAAACAAGCCCAACTCCTTTTCCAAGCTTAGCCGGTTTTGATAACTGTAGTAGAGCTATGTCGTTGCTCCAGCTATTTGGACTGTTGTATCTTTCATGTTCAATTACTTTTATAACATCAAAACTTTGCTCTGTGCTGACATTACCATAAGTTTTGTAATGTGCCCCCAATCTGAAATCAATCAAAGCACAATGTATCTTATCAATTGTACAATAAGAAAAGACTGCAGAGTTAAGTATGCGATAGAAATCTTTGAAAAACATTTTGAGTGTCAGTTAACCGTTTATGGGAGACGGTTTAAGTCACCTTGCTGCACATCAAGGTTTGATTACACTGTTGAAAAGTAAATCCCGTCAGAAAAATTGACGGTGGTTCCCTTTATGAGTCTCTGTTTTTCAAGGGTGAAATTTCCAGCTTTTCAATTAATTTCCAGCGTGCAGGATTGTGTGCATTTTCCAAACTTCCCTTTTTGCTAAACTATTAGGACTATCGATTGCCAATTGCTTCATGTTTAAAAGACGGGTAAGCGTGGAGCAAATTTTCTCCTTACACGACTTTCACCGACGACGCGGATTTTCCTTCTACGCAGTGAGTGGCTGTGACAACCCACAACGGATGTATCAAACTACCACCGCAAAACTGCGAACCATAACTGTCCCGCAGCATCGCCTGCCAGGGCCAGCTATTGATTGGGGCGACTGACCCACCAACAATACGCATGCCACTTGGTCGATATCCGCATGACACTGAAAAAGAACCAAGCAACAATTCAGCAAAAAGTCTCAGAATGAACCTGTTTGAATATTTTTATCATTTTCCGGCTCTATATATTACTAATTATTATATTACAAGTTAGATTAATCCTTCTATGGCCTTCTCTGTCACTCATTTGATAGAGTATCTGACCAGGCGATCGCTTCTGGCTTGAATCCTTGTGGCGTGGACCGAGATTTCTTCGCCATCCTGATAAATTTATAAGCATCTGTACTTCGCATTTAAGTCTAAAATTACTATTTTGATTTTGATTAATTTTTCGAATAGAGAAAAATTATCCCTTAGTGTCCCATCTTATCGCCGAATCTTTAAGCGATGTTTATCCATAACTCTCGGCGTAGCGTGACACAGAGTAGGTCTCGATAAGGAAATCACCATCAGAGCCCAGTTGTTCAAAGGACGGATAACGCTATCCAACGGATAAATCACCATCCAGCGGATTAATGTTACAAAACATTCTTTGCTGTCCACTGGAAGGCGATTTATCCAGTGCATAGCGTCATCCCATCTTCGTATAACCTGAGCTAGGGAATTAAATTCACACAAATTAATAAGATAGTTGCTGCTACCCAAGGGCAGTTTGTGAGTAGATTTCAGATAGAGTGTCAACAAGTCAATTCGTGCACAGCTAAAAGTCTCTTCCTGCAAGCTCTACGTACAATTTTAGTTTACATCTTATTGGCACACCTGGCCGCACAACTTCCTATGGCCACCCATAGGCGTAACGTAGAAAAAACCTGAGCTCGTACGGTATTACCCTACCATTTTTCGTAGTAGCATTCACTTCCAGAGTCTTGTAACAATAGCCAAGTGCGTCCACACCAAACACTTCCATTTGATAGCTTTGTGAATGGTCCAGTCCGTTAATTTCTAAATCAAGTCTACTTCCATCTACAATAGCATGGTGTGGTGCGCTTTTATTGGAGGACGAGAGAAGGACGATGTAGTGAAGTATCCCTCGATTTATAAAGCTGGTTAGGTTACTCCACTGAATTAAAAGACTTGAGCTTGTGATATTGTCTACTGACGCTAGCCAGCCAGGAGTATAAGTAGCTAAAAATTACAGAGGTGAGTAAAAAGAGGTGAGTAAAAATTAAAGAGGTGGTTACTCCTTCTCAGGCATAACTGAAGAATTTCGTACATAAAATGTAACACCAAGCGATGAAATGGACACCAGAGGCAGAAAAACAAACCTTTAGAGCCAGCAATCGAATCAAATAACGGAATTTTAATAAAGGATGTAAAAAGTAAGGAGACTGCAAATTCAAAGCACAATGACAAGTAACATTTTTTCGTACCTGAATGTAGGCCATGTTTTAGTATCACAAAGTGAGATGTTATCCGACTTTGTAGTTGAGTCAATAAAATATTGACTGCAATGTTATTGGATCGCATAAAAGGAATTTCAACATAGGATCCTGGATTGTTAGGACAGCAACCCTGTTTGTGATATTCGAGGGTTCCATTGCCGCTGAAAATCTTCACATGCTCGCTGAAATAAATGGCAAAAAACACAAAAGTTAAAATGCCCTTCCTGTACTATAGCGGAAAAAGAAAGAGCACGATGCTCGTTTCTCTCTGAAAAGTAACAAATTTCTATTGTGACAGCAGTAGTTATCAGATATATCGAACAATAGATATACCTATAGCTCAAGAATACGTTTCGAAAAAAACTTCCGTTGGTATATGAATGATGGATAGCTCTCTATGTTTTCACTCTAGATATCTCATGATCCTGTGAAAACCGAGAAAGACTCCGTCCACCTCATGTTGTTGTTTTTTTTTTCCGGAGATCTATGTTAAGATACTTGGCTCACATGATGAGAACAAACAAATTACGAGGCATCAATCTTCGATCCTTTTCAGCATGCTGTAAATAGCTTCGTTATTAATACAATGGTGGTAACTGTACAATGGTGCTATATCTGAAACTGGCACACAACAGGAGCGCTATACCACACCTATAAATGCCCTTCGTAATTTCCTAATTAAGAGGCTTCTGTTTATAAGCTATAAGGACTTAAAAAAACTCTTAGCAGCTTTCAAAAGTGCATTTACAACTGTTTTCATTTTTTTATAGGATGTATGATACTTGACAGCGTATAAAGTAATGTGTCTTACGAGTACACGTTCTTATTTGTAAAAAGGTTCGCCATAAAGTGATGATATTATTGAAAACTTATATTAATTACCTGCAAGAAACAAAGGCAAGTTGGTCGAATAGAAAAAGGGCAGCCGCGTTCGTTATTCCAAAATTGCCGATTGTCCAGTTGCAGTATAGATTCTTATAATCTGTATGTATCACATCTATCAGTCCAGCGGATTGGTTTAAAGTGATCTCGCAAGCTAAGAAAAAAAAATGAAACATTATTTTTGATAGACTATCATTTATCGCTTCTGTGACTTTTAGAAACGAGTCTCACTTAATAAATTGCTTTATAACATAGCTAGCAAATTTGTCTAATCAAATTCTAATTGCGCGAGCGTGCTTCATATATAAGAGTTGCTCGAGGCGTAGCACGCTGACGTATGAACCAATTGCTAATAAATGTTCAGATTATCACAGCAACTCGCGCGCTTTGATTTTCCTAAGGCTACGTCCTAAGCATTGATACAACGACTACCGGAGTGAATTGTTGATTTCATCTAAATCACGAAGTTGTAGGGATCGGAAAATGGCAAAAGCGCCAGTCCAGTTTTGATAAATATTTCTTAGAATATAGCTCTAATATATACAACAAAATTGATGGTTTAAGATATGATATGAGCAATGGGCAAGATCATATTTTTTGCCTTGTTGTAACTGAATCATAATTTTTTAAATTCTATATTTCAAAAAGCATTCTTAGATATCATTTGCGAATAATATCAATCGCATAGGGCGGGAACTGAACCACAATGAAACCACTTCAGAGCCTTTTAAGATAAACTAAAAGATTGTTCCCCATTTACTCTAGAACAATTCTGTTATTGATACATGTTCGCAAAGTGATATTCGTTTATGGACCTACCTGTCGTGACGTAGTGGCGGTAGGAAATTGGTCCTTCACCTTTGGAAGTGAAGGCGGCCACAGAAACATCATACCGTTGGCCTGGATTTAATCCTGTCAAAGTTATTTTAGTAGCGTTGACGGTTACGCTGTTATTCTTGAGCGGAGAATAATAATAAGTGAACACCTGGAAGTAAACTCTGTATCCTAGCAATCTTCCATTGACATATTGCTGTGAAAGAGGGTCCCAGTGGACAGTTAGCTTAGTAGACTCAACATTTGTGAAGGTGATGTTTAGTGGTGCTCTGCTGGGAACTGAAAAAACAAAGGGGATAAAAAGGGTTATTTATTTATTATTTATTTATTTATTTAGCCAATTTTTGCTCCTAGAACTATCAGACGGAGAAACTGGCATCCGAAGCGTCAGGAAACATGTACAGGAGGGGGATGAAGTAGTGCAGGGAACCCTTTCTCCATTGTTTCTTTCATCGCATTTATACGACTTTTAGAAGATGAAAAAATGAAAAATGAAGAAAAGCGAAGATTTCGAAATGTTTCCCTATAGATGAAATTTACAAGTTGAATTGAAAATTACGGATTATGTATATTCATAATCACTTTGTTACTGAAAAAATCCCTTCACGGCTAAAATATAAAAACAAGTGAAATCAAAGTAAGGTTTAGTTAATTCTATGGTGTAACCGAGGAAAAGTCTTGATTATCTTTAAGGCACTAAAATTACCTCGATTGGTCAAGGTTCAATGATTACGCAACAGAAGAGCTGTGCATGTACACAACTAGCGAAACTGAACATTAGAGATGAGATAACCATCACACAACCATTTTAATAGCGTCAATAATATTTTTTGAGAGAAACTTTGTGACACTAATTGGCATTTTGTATTCAACATTTACCTCCTTCGTCCGTCCAAGCTGTGATATTAGCACTCTTATAGGCTTGTCCGTTATTGTCAACGCCAATAATAGCCACAGAATATTGTTTATAAGATGAAAGTCCATCGAATACAACCGAAGTCATATTTCCAGACATGATCTTGGCGTTCAAAACGGTTCCATTGGAGGTCTGCAGAAGCCCGAAGAGGTGAAGAATTTGCTGATTTAGCACTTCGTTCAAATTTTCCCACTGGATCCCGATGCTTTTCTCTGTGGTGTTTCCAATGGTTACATTCCAGTTGGAGACAAATGCAGCTAAGAAATCAAAGAAATCCATTATAGTTATTGAGGAGTATTGTTCTGAGAACAACTACAAAGTACACGTTTATACTGGAAAAAGGAGGAAGCATCGGAATCGGAAATAACAATTACATAAGAAGTCACCTGGAATTAATGTATTACACCCTAAAGGTAAACAAGTGAATGCAAATAAAAAATGAAGTGATTCGAGCTGGAAATTCTCGTCGTTCAAGGTATCTAGTGAAGAAATAACAACACACCTGACTGAAGGTCCTGATTTACGATTCCGTATTTAAGCTTGAACTGACTCCACCTATTATAGAAGTAAATCTGCACCTTGACATTATTTCCATTCCCATAATTAACGAGCAAGAACGTTTTCAAAGGAGAAGACGAATATCCATTGTGATAAAATACTGTTAGCCCATTTCCATCGATGATCTTTACATATTCACTGTCAAAGTAAAGAAAAACGTTTTTCATAGACACATAACACTGATGAGATCAGGGTAGGAGGGTCGGTCAGCTCTTTAACCCGTTTAAAAAAGGAAAGAGGCTCGAGGAATATTCCCTAAATACACGAGCTACGTAAACGTGAGGCTGAAATTTCGATTTAAATGGTTGTCAAACTTGGTTGAAACTAAAAAAATATATATGTTTTTGTCTGATCGTGATAATGCTTTGATGTTACAGCTACAGCAGCCCCATAGTGAAATAGTCCATTACCAGGTTCGTTTGTCTCACGTGATAACAACAACAAAAATGACATGAACCACCTCCCCCATCACCGTATCTTACAGGGTCTGTAAAGTATTTCGTAGGAAAGGTAACTCGGGTTGAAAGAAACTAACCTTTTTTAAATGGTTAAAATTTAAAATTTTTTGGTTAATCATCAGATTTTAATTTGGCAATTTCCAACGATTTCCCTTTTTTTCAAGGAAGATTTACAAGTATTTTTCTACATTTATCTAATCAACTATAGAGTATAAATGGTTAAGAGGTTGCACAGCATGGTAGAGTGTCTCAGCGCTAATAATCTGCATCACTTACTAGTAGCTTGAAACATATAGATCTTCAAAAGATACAATCAGGACGGCTTGGTTGATTCCTGAGTTTCCAATCGCCCAGTTACATCTTAGAGAACTTGAATAGTAACCCCTTCGTCCAACTTGTATCACGCCGAATGACCGATTTACGCTTCCTCCGCATCCTGGGGAAGAGAAGACGGCAAGGCATAAGAAAACATCTCCGGAAATGAAAAGAATTAATTTTGTATAACTACACTTTATTTCTTTGTCTTATGTTCTTCCTGGTTTCTAGGATGCGTTCAACCTAGAAAAGCATTTGACACCATCACATCAACTACTTATTTTATAGTAGTGGATTAAAAGCAGCCGTCCAGGGAGGACGATAAAATATTTGCGCTATGGTTTTAAACGTTGGAGGTGCCACTGTGCCACTGACATTTGATCAATATCCCACGTAGTTAACAGTACTTCGATCAAAGACTTTTTAAGTATAACTATCACCATCATCAATAAAAACGACGTTTGTTTTGTTGTAGATAGGTTTGAAAACTCATATTGTAATAATAGTTGAAAACAGTAATGTACGTGAGTTATCGATTTTTGAATAAAGTCTTCAAGATCTTCGGCAGCTTCATTTAATTGCAATGTCTATATCAAAGAGAATCTCCAAAATTCCTCATGACCAAATTTTGTGTATTTTGAGATTGCTATTTTAGAAAATACCTGTTGTGATGTATCGCCAGTAAGATTGTGGGCCCTCTCCCTTCGAAGTAAAAGCTGTCACGCTTATTCTGTACTGCTGTGCATTTTTCAGACCTCCTACCTTCATCATGTGAACATTGGGGCCAACGGTCTCCAAAGTTTGTACAAGCAATCCATAATAGTAATATTCATACTCATAAACACGCACTCTATATCCCTGTAGTCGTCCATTTACATAATGCTGTGCAAGTGGATCCCATTGTACTTGTATCTCATTTTGCTGTAGGTTCGACAGTCGAACATTGGACGGGGCTCTGCTGGGAACTGAAAAAGGAAAATTAATTCACGTTATTTCCATGGTGCGGAAAGAGAAAAATGTCACTTGCCAATCGGCTATGAAGAGTCAGATGGAACGAATAATTGTAACATATATTGTACATTCGGTAGTGCAGCATCCGAAATGTGTAATGATACAATATTTATATCAACGGGTTAGAAATGTCCTTAAAATATAATTGAATGCAACTTTTTCAGCTGTGAGTCATTCGAAATATGAATCAGGGTTGCTCTCGTTACCGCAACGAGCTGGAAACTGAAAGCTAAAACTGAAAACTAGACAACGCAAACTGGAAACTGGAAAATTGAAAATGAAACGATAAATTTACGGAGCTGAAAAGTTAGGTGAATTTTACCTCCTTCTTCTGTCCAAAATGTTGAATTTGAACTGTTGTGCGCTTGCCCGTCACTTCCAACGCCAACAATGGTTATTTGATACTCCGTGTATGCTGATAACCCGGAAATATTCCCAGACGTGATGTTTCCACTAGTGATCAGAGCATTTAAGACACTGCTACCATTAGCACTTCTTATTAAAGTGATGTAATGCAAAACTTGTTCACCAATCAATAATTCCAGGTTCATCCAGAAGACGCTGACACTTGTAGAAGTGACATTTCCGACTGTAACGTTCCAATTTGCAGTCGACAAAGCTGGAAGTCGATAAGTCAATGGTTAACAAGGCATGCATAAGGCAAAGTTCTGGGTGGATTGTGATAACTTCTCCGCAAAGGAAAAAGGTTTCATTTGGATGTTGAATGTGATTATCAAACTAAAAAAAAATATTCTCACAAGTATGGCTTTACCCTCAATAACATAATGTTTTTATAAACCAATCCGGATGTGATGGAACCTTCTCCTTTAACCGGAAGGTCATAACTTCAATTAATGTTTATTCAGATTGCCATTTTGTCGCTTATTTAGAAGTTTCACCTTCCAGTGATACGAGTTTCTGAATTGAGAAGACCTACGTGAACGTATTCAACTCGGTAAAACAAAGCTTCTGGTATTTAACATGTACTGAATTCTGTAGTTTAACAAGATTTGAAAACGAGGCTTACTTTAACAGAAAAGAAACGTCCTCCTGTTTCGGGTGATACAGAGGGGTAACCAATTACAATTAATGACGTAATTGACTCTGTGGAAGATCGATATTCCAAATACCAACCTGACTGGAGGCCTCCTTTCAAAGTCCCGTAGCTAAGCTGAAAGTGACTGTATGAACTCGAAAGGGAGGTTTGGATGGTGATGTTCCCAGCGTTTCCAAACTCAACTTCTAAGTGAATGTTCTCCTGAATACCAGAGTACCTATGTTGATGTAGAACTACAGAGCCATTTCCGTCCAGGATCTTTAAATAGTCACTGCGAACATAAACAATTACTCATGTTAAATTAAGGTTAATCCCTACAGGCCAAGGGTCCCATAACTGCCTAACGTAATATCTGGTTTCTGTGATATGAAGCGACTTAAAAAATACTCTTTTTCTTTGATGGGATGCCTGTTACCTTAGACTCCCCGTAACCTTTTTTAATAAAACCCTGATAATTTTCCGGTCCCCATTCCTGTTTCTGATCAAGAATAACTGGCCAAAAATTATGGATAATAAAAGATCTGCGTAGAGGCTCGCTCGTTTTTCTCTTTCTTTGTGTGAAGTAAGTGCCAATAATTGAACTCAAGCGTGAATTTGACGGTTTCAAAAACTAAGAGAAATCATCGTAGCAAAATACGCAATGAGTCCATTGGAAGCCTGGTATGTTGTTCTGATACTCTATTAAAAGTTGTTAATAGAGGAAGTAAAACCTCATAAATAACGGTCTGGCAGGTGTTTATCAATTTTAGAAAGTGCAAAACTTTTTATGCCAAGTTGCCGTCTTCGTAATGTATAAAGCACGCCTGTGCACTACGCTTCGTGTAAAAATGGAGAACGTCGTCCAACGTAAGCAATCCGATCTGTTCAAGATTTTCCAAAGCGACACTCATAGAAATTCAATAGCTAATGTCAAGAGACGCAGCCACTTCGAACTGTAGGGTTGCGTTAAACGCGAATGGTTGGCAGAACTGATTTGGTACCGATTAAGAGATTATAAACTCATTTTGGTGCTCATGGAATTGAAGTTGTTTTGTTTTATGTGCAGATATAAAGTTGGCATTAGATGCTTATGTTCAAAATGAACACCAGCACATCTTGTTTTACTTACTATGAATAAGAAAAATAAAGGTCATTTATCCAAATGAAGGCGACTGCTCGCTGTATGCCCACATTTACGATGTTCCAGGTGCAGCTTAAATAGTAGTAGTTTCTGTTTGAGCCAATGTGCACCTGTCCAAATGACTGGTTTAATGGTCCACCACAACCTAAGAATTTACCAAAAGAAGATACGATAATGGGCAATGTTAAAACATCTACGCACTAGAAATGCCGATAGTCTGCTAAGAAGTGATATCATAATTGGCGAATACACAACGGACCTGTCAGAATCAAGTTAAAAAGGTTCACGATTTAAGGTATGGGAAATATTTTGAAAGGACGAATTTACCATATCGATTTATTCGGAAAGAAGCGTTTTAACTGACCTGTTGTAATGTATCGCAAGTATGACTGCGATCCTGCTCCTTGGGACGTAAATGCTGCCACCGATATTTGGTATCTCTGTGCTGACTTCAGACCCCTTAGTATCAGCATGTGAACTTTGGGGCTGTTGGTATCCATGCTTTGAAGCATACCTGAATACCAGTACTCTTGATAGAACACTCTATATCCCAGCAATATTCCATTAGCCGTCTCTGGAGGTATGGGATCCCATTGAACCTTCACCTCATGGGACTGCAGATTTGTCAAGCGTACATTCGATGGTGCACTGCTGGGAACTGAAAGGCAGAAGGAATAGAAAAATGACAAGGAGTAAGTACAAATTATTTTCATCCAAAGAAGATAAGCAACCACGAAAGAATTGAATGAGTTTACCTCCTTCGTTTGTCCTTGCGATCTCCTTCCTACTGGAAAATGTACCATTGCTAGAATTTGACGCCACAGCAATTACTTGCACGTCATAGTATTGGTAACTCCTAAGAATTTTACCAGTGTAATGTGTATTGTAATAACTTTGAGTCTCAAAAATAAGGCTGACGTTTGAATTGTGCTCCCTGTAGCTCACTAAAAGTCGTTGAATGGACTGACTTGTCATAGGGAAGTTGGACCATTGCACTGTCATCGACGAGGTTGTAGTATCAGAGATACTGATATTCCAAGATGGGAGCAATTGAGCTGCAAGGAATAGTTGTAGATTATAAATAAGTCTTACAAGTCGAGAGAAAACAATTAGAAAATGATAAAAATTATTTGAATCCTTTCTGGGAAATCTATTTCGATTCTCCACGAGTTAGCCCTTCTATGCCCTTTTATGTTTACACTCTGACGATTTCGTATCTTTATTATTATTTTCCAATTTTTCAATATTTTTTAGCAAATTCTAAATTTAAATAAACTCAAAATTTTTGTTACCTGAGCTTAGGGGTTGATATAATATCGCGTATTGGACACTGGCGTAACTATACCGGTACGAAAAAAGAAATGCGAGCGTAATACTATGCCATCACCAAATGGGACTTCCACGGACAATCCGCTAGTTGTGGAATCACATCCCCCACGATGGAACACCTGAACACCATTGGCATCAAAAATCTTGATATACTCGCTAAAGGTGAAATAATTATAGACACCGAGTCAGTACAGAAGGACTGAAGCAAAAAACGAGAAACAACTCGTGAATCGTGTAACTGTCTGGCAACCCTATCATTTTGCAAATGATTGTTAATTCGGTTATGTTTTCATAGTAAAAACTTGTGTTTCAGTGCTCGTAAAAACGACGAGATCAATGTACGTCAGTGCTTAGTGAAGGTAAACTAATCGGTTAAAAAAATAGGCCAATTTCTCGGTTTTACATTGGCCAGTGAAAGTGGTCTGTCATTTATCTTTAAATAAATGCAGAGAAATAAAATCAGGATTGACTTCCATCAAGCTACCTGCAATATCCAAAGTATATGCTCGGAAAGGAAATAAGGGCCGATCCATGTTGGATTCCAGCGTTTTGTACTTGAACACTGCAGTTGAGA